CTCTCTCGCTTTCCCTTTCCTCTCTCTCTATAGAAGAGAAAAATCAATACAGTTAGATAAATAAACAGGGCTCTAAATTTCTCATTTTTACATACTTATTAATTTGTTACAGTTTTATCATTGCCTTTCATTAATAGCGATATGGAAATTACATGCTCATAGTAATATTAATAGAGTTAGCCATACCCTGGAGTCAGTTGTATACCTTTTTTTAAATTTTTTATTTTATTTTATTTTTTTGCTATAGAGTATGTGTGCTTGCCAGGGAGGTGCAGAAATAGAGAAAGAGAGAGGGAATGTGAGAAATCACCCCGCTAAGGGGGGATGGTCCTGCCACAGTTTGTTGTCCTCCATTCCCCTCTCGGGATCTCGGGCACGCACACACATGCATTTGGTGTGTTTTCCAGGCCTCTGGGTCTGGGACTTGAACCATGGGGTCAACCATGTGGGATCACGGCCTTCACCACCACACCACCTCCTGGCCCGGTATTATTATTTTTTATTGGTTACACATAATATGTCTTTTTCTTCAAGTGCACAAGCTGATAGCTGTTTTAACAAAGGTCTTTTAGCTTTTTATTTCTAAGTATTTTTACATGTTAACACTGGCCATTCTCATCCAAAAGCAGCACTGGTAGGAAACTGGATTCTAATTCACTTTACTCCACAAATGTTGAGTGTGATCTGAATAGAGGGGATTCTCACGTCTTGGTAGTTGATAGAAAGTTCACGATGGAACAAAATGCAGAGGAAGACTTCAGAAGACAAAGAATAACTTGGTAAAGCAGAGGATTGCACCATTTTCTGTGGCTGGATCCTTTGTGTACTCATTTAGCATAAAACAGGGTGGGCGGTTACGGGGCTCCTTGCACAGGCTCAGACAAATCGCTGCTTGAGTCACCATCTCCGGAACATCACTACCTCAGAAAGAGCCGACACAGCCCAGGAGGTGGTCTTAGTCAGAATCCCAGTGCAGGGCTAGAAGAATTGGCCTCCTACCCCTCCCCCTTGTAATTTTTTTTTTTTCTCGGAGGTTATTTTAGGTTTTTCCCCACATAAAAGACTTTTCAGCACTTCTTTGGTCCTCCAGCTTTCCATAGTAGGTCTTACACCACCAACTAGATTATAAATTCTTTCAGGGAAGAGACGTAGATTACCTATATGGTAGAGTGCCGGTATTTCAAAACCGAAGGACTTGGAAGAGGGAAGGAAGACCCGTAGAGATAGTGACTTGCCGGGATTGGAGAAAATAGGAGGTCCAGGCGATCCGGAAACCTAGGGGCCCCGTGCCTGCAGCCTCCCTAATCCTATCCTTGATCTCGTGGCTGCTGTTCAGTACTTTTGGTGATTCAATGCCCTTCTTGGCATCCAAAGGCTGGTACCTACACCTAGCCCAGTATCTAAGGGTTAATTTTATTTCTGTTTCTTTTTTATTATTAAGTTTCTTCCTTTCACCCTTGAACAAGAGAGACAGAAGAGAGAAAGAGACCATACCCTTCCCAGGGTCCCCACGGCGTGCTCTGCCCTCCCCTAGACAGTTCCGGGTCCTGGACATGTGCCTGCCTGGCATGCCCAGGGAGGTCTCTGGACATGAACCTAGACCCTCCCCCCCATGGGTCAGCCATGCAGAGCTTGCCCCCTTCGGCCTCCCAGGGCTAATCCTCCGACACCCCAAACATGCTTCAGAGCACACAGAAACCTGTTCCTCCCTTTGCCTTCATCTCCTTGTCCTGCATTGTGGGTGTCAGGCCAGACTTCCATGGAAGACCAGCAGGGAAAGGCCGATTCTGTGCAACTTCTGTAAACCCAGCAGCTACTGGAAAACCACAGACCGAGATACGTGGAGTGGAGGAGCAGAGGCCAGCCTGGATTCTGCGAGTCGGGAGTTTTATAAAATCTTAAAGCAGCCTTAGACCTCTGTAAATCAGTTTCTGAAATTACAGAAAGTACGAGTCACAATCGCGCAATTAGACTGAAAACGGAGGTGCTCGTAACAACTGCAGTTACCATGCTTTGATTATTGTGATGTTTTGCATAAAGAAGACAAATGCAAAGGCCTTTCGGGGTGCCTGTCCCCTGCTGGTGTGTAAATGTCTGGCAGAAACCGAGTTCATTTTGGCAGCTGAATCTCTGAAGCAGGTCATAGTCCTCCCTGCCTTAGTGGGAAACATTGGTCCTGCGATGCCGGTCAGTTATAATGACTGTTTCTACTATGTTAAGTGGCGTCAGTTATAATGGCCGTTTCTACCATGTTAAGTGAGGGGCCATATTTAGCCCACTTAGGTGAAAACTGCAGTGCGTGCCGTTTCGTTAAAGTGACCTGAGGACTCGTGGTTTTAGCGAGTTTGTTTATCTGGTCGCCAGCATCTATTAAGCACCAGCTTTGTGCCACTCTGCTGACCACCCAGGCCAGGGCGGGACTTTGGAATTAGGCGTACCTGCGTTCACGTCGGGCCTCAGCTTCACGCCAGCTGTGAGGATTCAGACACCTGAGTTCCCACACTAGCCATCCTCTCTTACCATTAGAGCTGTCGGCGTGATCATGAAAATGAAATGATAGAATATGTCAGGAGCTTAGTGCCTATCAGTTAAGGTCCAAGTTATGATATGTTAACTTTTTTTTTGAGGTGTTTGCCTTAGGGCACATGCACTCACCAGAGATACAGACAGACAGACATAGTGAGGGGGAAAAGGAGAAATCACCCCCCAGGGGGGATGGCCATGTCACAATCCCTTCTCCTCCATTCTCCTCCCAGGATCTTGGGCACGCACGCACGCACATACACCCTGTGTGATTTTAGACTACTGGGGCTAGGACTCGAACTGTGGTCGGACACGTGGGAGTCCAGCAATGTAACTGCTACGCCATCTGCTGGCCCCAAAACATTAACTTTTTAAAGTTGATTTACTTACTAAGTCAGTGAGTGAGAGAGACAGAGAGAGACAGAAACAGAGAGATAGTTCTTCTAACAGGGTCCCGATGACTCTCTGGCCCCAGGCCCTGGGTCCTGGGTGCGTGTGTGCTGCAGTCCTCAGGGTACTCTCTGGGCACAGACCCAGGCACCCCACACGGGGTTACACAGAGTGTCACGTTTCACCTCCGCGCCAGCGTCTGGCCCCTGTTGCTAATTCATCACCTCCTCCTCGTGGTCTTCATTCTCATCTTTTCCCAGGGCCTGCATTTGTTGAAGGAAGATGTTTAAAGCAAAAGCTTCTCTAACATGCTTAGTAATGACCTGGGCTCAGAAATAAGTGGAGTTATTTAAAGAGACGCCAGGGAGCTCCAATTCTACGAGGCACCCCAAGCACTCTTCTAGAATGTTCTGTCCGCTCCCCTTTCTGCCTTGTGACGTCATGAGGGCTGACGGTGATTTGACTATGCTGTCAAGTACGGAAATGTGTCCCCTCCATTCCGGTGGTAAAACTCTCCTGCCAGACCACAGCCCAGGGCAGTCTTCTGTTCTCTGTGACCCTGCTCACCCTTCCCCACCTTCCTGGAGCTGGCTTGGTAGATATGCACAAGGCTGTATTGCTTTTTTTGATATTGGAAAACAATTTATTTTCCCTTAAAATTCGTGAGAGCATGTGCACACATGTAAAGGAGAGAGAGAAGAGCCCTACGACAGGGCCTCATCACCCCGAAACCCTCCCTGTGCCCTCCAGCCCATCAGGACCTGGGCATGCATACAGGTGCACCCAGTGTATGTCAGGTGTGCCAGGCCAGGCACCCGAACCCAGGGCCAGCCGTGTGGCTTCCAGCACTACCATCTAGTGCACTGCCACCGCACCCCTGGGCTGGTCCTGGATCCTTTTTATTGACACCATTTTGTGCTAATTCTGCATCCCTAGCCATGACCTCTCTATTCAAGGCCAGTTCCTTCCTCAAATTGCCGTCTGCTAAGACTATCAAAGTGTCACTGAACTTCAGCTAGCCCATGGCCGGCTCGGCCATGGACAAGTTCCTGCCAACAGTGTTTCCTTTCTCCCTGGAGGCTCACCAGACAGGCCTACATGCAGTGGAAGCTCTGTCCTCCCTCACGGGCTGTCCACACTTGCCCAGGTGCAGCCTGATGTGCTTGAGTTCACCTTGCACATGCAGCTCAGACTGTCCAGCCTGCCTTCCAGCCAGGCGAATTCTCACGGTGCTGAGCTGCTGACCTGGGGTTTCAGGGAGCAGGCCTGTAGCCCAGCTCCCCAGCCAGCTACCCATGGGAGCCCTCAAGCACTCGAGCCAACTGTGTTTGTTGTTGTTGTTGCTGCTGTTTGATTTTAAGAGGTTTCTGATTTAGGGCGCGTGTGCTCGCCAGAGAGAGACAGAGACGGTGAGAAATCACTCCTCTAGGGGAGATGGTCATACCACAATCTCTTCTCTTCCATTTTCCTCCCAGGATCTTAGGCGCACACACACACACATGCATCCAGCGTGAGTCTCAAGCCACCAGGTCCAGGACTCGAACCATGGTTGGCCATGTGGAAATCTAGTGACGTAACCACTATCCCATCCGCTGGCCCTAGCTCTGTTTTATAGCGTCATCAACTAAACTATTTTTGTCTGTTACTTTCTTTTTCTTTTTGATGGCAGAGGGCTCATGCATTTGTGAGAGAAAGAAAACAGGGAGAGAGAGAATTCCAGCCTCCCAGCAGGGCCCAGTCACGTGTGATCCTTTCCCCTTCAGTTCTCTATCACGTCACGACCCTGGGCACGCACGTATACACCTGTCGTGTGTTTCAAACTGATGGGGCCAGTACTCAAACCCCAGCCAGCCATGGGGCTCTGGCTTCCTCCAGCCAGTGCCCAACCACTGTGCTACAAGGTCAGTCTTAAAGTAGGGTGTTTCTTCAGCACCTGTTATATGTAAATGAAATGGTATCGAAGCCAATGATTACCATATGTGAAACCGTCTTTGGCATCTAAAGGGTGGTCCGTGGTCAGCACATCCCTTAGGACAGACTTAGCCTGGGAAGGTCTGATTCCACATGCCACCAGGAGGCAGCTGCTGCCATGTGCATGCCCCCCAGGCCCTCGCGTCCACAGCAGCACCCAGTCTCCTCACTCCGTCCCCTGTCCTGAATCGTAAACACACAGCCATGGGGGAGAGCATTGCTTCCCCAGCATTTTAATAATGCACTGGCTTTCTTCTCCCAAAGTGAAGGCTTTGGGATGAGGATTGTGCCCTACAATGTGACCTTCCAAACTAGACCAAGCACACAGTCATCCCTCCTCCTTTCTCTGTGGTCTCAGGTGTGTCACTTTCTCTCTCTGAGGCATGGCTTTCTCTTAGATCTAATCTCTACCCTCCTGTGTGAACTCGTGCAAGTCAGACTCCATATTGCAGACATTAAGGAATAAATGTAGAGTATGCATTAGCTATGAGCTCATTGATCTTCATATTACTTTTTTTTTTGAGAGGTTTTTTTTTTTTTTTTTTTTTGCTATAGGGCGCATGCGCTCGCCAGACAGACAGAGAGAGACATAGAGACAGAAAGCGAGAAATCACCCCCCAGGGGGGATGGTCATGCTGCAATCCCTTCTCCATTCTCCTCTCGGGATCTTGGAAACGCACACACATGCGCCCAGCGAGTTTTAAGCCACTGGGTCCAGGACGCGAACCACAGTCGACTACGTGGGAGTCCAGTGACATAGACATTACGCTAACTGCTGGTTCCCGATCTTCATATTACTTTAAAAACAGAGACGACTCATAGGCCAGCTCCATAGCACAACACTTCAGGACCATGCATTGGGATCCGGATCCCACACGGCCAACCACTGTTCTAATCCTGGCCCTGGTGACTTGAACAATATGCTCTGTGTGTGTGTGTGTGTGTGTGTGTGTGTGTGTGCACATACAGAGTCCTTATGGGATGGAGAAATGGAGGGGAAAGGATTGCAGTGTGCCCACGCCCCATTGGGGGGATACTTTCTTCCTTCTTTCTGGTGAGTGCATGTGCCCACTGGCAATTAAAAAAAAATTCCTAGAGGGACCAGCAGATGGCGTAATGCTTCTATTGCTGGACTCCCACATAGTCGATCGTGATTCAAAAGTGGGACCCAGCAGCTCAGAACTCACACCAGGCATGTGTGCATGCGTGCCCGAAATCCTGAGAGGCGAGCGGAAGAGAAGGGATTGCAGCGTGGCCTTCCCCCCTGGGGGGTGATTTCTCACTTTTTGTCTGTCTGACAAGTGCACACACCCTATAGCAAAAACATCTCTCTCTCAAAAATAATAAGAAAGACAACTCAGTTATTGGTTGAGTATGAGAAAATCTAAATAGGGCATACTGAAAGTTGTGTTTAAATTCCTCAAAAAATATGTAACTTGGGTTCTCCTTAACAGGATTAACTTAGAGAGAAAAGAGACCCAAAGCTTCTGTTTACCTGATCCCCCCTTCAGTTACTCCACTTTTTAAGTTTCTTGTATTAATTTAAGGAAGGAAAGTGGTAGGAAGAGGGAAGAGGAAAGAGGAAAAAGACGGCAAGGCTGTGAGGAGACGAGGCTGTTTCAAGCCCTCACACTGAGCAGTCGGCTGCGTCTGTGTTGAAGCCAAAGAAAGCAAATCCCAGCAACGCGTTTGCAGTCTTCCTTCCCAGATGAGCCTCCCGTGGCGAACCTCCTTCCCTCGTGGTCGTTAATACACTGCCATTCCCTAGAGGTGCAGAGGGCCAGCACCCACACGGCTGAAAGCTCTGAGACACAGCCCACCTGCCCGGCCCCAGGCCCAGGGCCTCCGCGTATTTTCCCACTTTTCATGCCCCTCCAGTAAGTGTGGTGCTTGCCCTTGAGCACTGATCCATCGTGCGAGAGCCATGAAGAGCATCGGCAATACTTGATACGTGGCATGCATAAACTTCCGCCACGACAAGGGACAGGGTGTGCTGCAGGGAGCCTGGGGCAGGAGGGAAGATGGCTGTAGCTGTGGACTCCTGCAGTCCACAGAGAAGCCAGAGCCTGGCCGCTCCATCCAGAGACCACTTCCATTCCAGTGCTAGCTCGTATGACCGCGCTGTTCTGACAGCTCGTGGTGTGGAGCCCTGCATTCCCCGCTGTCTTATTCATGCCCAGCGCCCCGAGAGCACGTGGAGTTACAATGCAAATTGGGGCTATCGCTCTCAGCAAGCTGCATGCCGCCACGTCGGGCGTGGGGAGGCAGAGCCGGACGGCATTGAGAGAGCAGAAAGGAGGGACTAAATTAAAGATACCCCCAGATCAAATGCAGAACACTCCTACTTTGTAGCTGCTTGCAGGAACCAGGCCACGGCACAGCAGTAACTTAGGCAGACCCTGATGGAAAGGTCCTGGGTCCACATCCTGGGACCTCTCTGTGCCCTTCGGGCATGGACATTTGTGCCCATGGTGTAGTCTGGCTGAGATTGGAGAGAACTGCAGTGTGGACCCCTCAGGGATGCTCATTTCTGACTGTCTGTCTCTCTCCTCTCTTTTCCTCTGTCTCTTATGGAAGAATCGATGAAGTTTAGCAGTGTGGAGTTGTGTATAGCGCACAGCTAAGACTTCGGCTATGACTGGTGTGATATAAGCAGACTGCTCCTTAGCAGTAGAGCCTGTGTCTTTAATCAGAAGTTGCCTACGAAGTTTCCTGTGCCCCTGATAGACTTATTAATCCAGGGCAGATTGATATTGCGTCGCGGGGGCCGAGACGCACCTGCACTCCGACCTCCTGAGCGGGGGAGGACTGGAGTGCACACACTTGGGGGCAGGTCACATTCGACTTCCCGAGAGAAATCTCCCAAATCCCAGGACACCTTCCAGACCTCACACCATGACATGTGTATTTTAGGGACTGGGTGAATCTTGCTGAGTGATAGGAGAAGGTTTACTGGGTGAGGAGGTGCAGATGCGATTGTTATCAATACAGAATCTGGTGGGAATGCTCAGGTGAGACTCTCTTCCCAGGGTGCCTGGGCAGCCCCAGTTTGCTGTCAGACCCCTCGGGCTGCAAGACCAGCTGCCGAGGGTGGAGCCCCAGCATTCTACAAGAGGCAGTGCAGAAAGCTACCAGCGACATGGGGTATGCGTGGAACTGCAGGCCACACAACCCAAGGGTGCTCCTCACTGAGAACAGACGCACTAGTCATGCCACCCTGGGCTGCACATGCTTTCTTTCTTTTTTTTTTAAGAGAGTTTTGCTATAGAGCGTGTATGCTCACTGAAGAGAGAGAGAGAGACAGAGAGACCAAAAGCAAGAAATCACTCCCCTCCAGGGGAGATGGCCACACTGCAATCCCCTCTCCTCCATTTTCCCCTCAGGATTTTGGGCATGCACACACATGCACCTGGTGTGAGTTGTAAGCTGCTGAATTCGGGACTAGAACCACTATCAACTGAGGAATTCCATTGATGTAACCATTATGCCATCTGCTGGCCCCCAGCAGGCTCTTATTTAGCCCTGAATCAGGAAGCTGAGCTGACTGAGGCCCCAAGCGTCCAAATGGCCCTGCCTTGATTTCACAAGGTCCATCGGTCAGAGTTTGTGC